TGCCATCTGTTGGATCCACAAGGAAGATTTTCCAGATGCTGAGGTGTTTTGTATCCTATGATGATGGTTCTTGAGTCTACACATATTCAAAATTTGTAGAACTGTACACCCCAAAGAGCTGATTTTGGCCAGGATGTCAAAAAATTGACGCCTTTGTACACTGTTTTGGGGAATATAAAATGGTACAGCCACTGTGGAAAGCCGTGTGTGGTTTCTCAAACCAGTACTTACCCCTAAGAATTGAAAGCAGGGACTCGGACAGATACAAGCATACCAATGTTCATTGCAACATTATTCACAATAGCCAGGAGGAGGAAGCAGCCCAGGTGTCCATAGGTAGCTGAATGGATAAACAAATATCCATACCATGAAATATCACTCAGCCTTTAAAAGAAAGGGCATTCTGATACGGGATATGACATGGATGAACCTCAGGGGCATAAGCCAGACACGAAAGGACAAATGTTGTATTCCACTCACACGAGGCCTGTAAAATAGTCAAACTCATATTGGTAGTAGTACTAGTCTACTCAAAGGAAGTAGGATGGAGTTGCTAGAGGCTGAGGGGAGGAAATGAGGAGTCTGTTTTGGAAGGACAGAGTTTCAGTTTGGGAAGATGAAAGAGTTCTGGAGGTGGATGGTAGGGATGGTTGTACGGCAATGTGAATATAATCAATTTCACAGAACTGTGCACTTACATGGTTAAGATGGTAACTTTGATGCTATTTATATTTTATCACAATTGTTAAAATATCAACAAAAAATCAAATTTACTATGTAATTTTGTTTTTAAGTTGCTGCAGGGTGTGTTCCATCTCTGGCGAGAGAGAGGGAAAATAAGAAATCACTGCCTGGGGAGATGGTCACACCACTGTTCCTCCTCCTCCATTTTCCTCTCAGGATTTGGGGAACACACACGTACACCTGGTGTGATTTTCAAGCCACCATGTGGGATCCAACCGCCTTATCCTCCATGCCACCTTGCTGTTTTGTATCATCTGAAACAAAAATGGAAAAATGCTCACACTACTATCTACTGGCTAGATATTTATTGTATTGTTCTTTGTGTATATTTACATGTTTTTAAATGTCCTTAAAGAAACTAAGAAAGGGGTCTGGCAGGTGGCATGGTGGTTAAGGGCGCTGGACTCCCCCATGACCGACCACAGTTCAAGTTCCAGAGCTGGTCAAATGTAAATAAACAAATAAATATGTAAAGTTAAATAAAATAATTATTTTTAAAAAAGAAAACAATCTGACGTGTGCATTAAAAGCATATATTGGGTTATTGGAAAAGTCATGTATTTTTCTGTTTTTCTTTGTAAAAAAGTGTCATGACTTTTCTGACAACCCAATAAAAACATGCTACTCACGGTATTGTTTTTAATGACCCAAATATACAAATAATCTACTTTAAAATGAAGAATTGTTCAAATATCACTGAACACTTATAAAATAGACATTTATAATCAATGTAGGAGAAAGCAACAACCTGGATGACTCTCAGAGGTATCTCCTTGAGTTACAGAAGCCAGACATAAAGGAAGACATTGTTTCCATTTCTATGAAGTCTCAGAATAGGCAACATGAAGTCCTGGTGGTAGGCCAGGAATTGTGGGGAGCTGGCTGTAATAGGGGCATGAGGAAACTTTCTGTGGTGATAGGGTGCACTAGATCAAAACCTACCTACTAGAATGGTGGTTGATAGAGTTGTGGGAAGTAAGAATTAAACGATTGTTGATTAGTGGGTATAGGGTTTGAGTTTTCAAAGATTAAAGACTCTGAAGGCGAATGGTAGTGATGGCTACATAGTAATGTGAATGTATGAGGGGAATTCAAAAAGTTTGCAGAAGGCCAGCTGGTGGCCTGATGGTTAAGGTGGCTGGATCCCACATGGCCAACTGAGCAGTCCCAGCCAGAATCCCTTCTCCTCCTTTCTCCTCTTGGGATATGGGGCACAGACACACCCTGCCTTAGTTTTAAACTGCTACTTCCGGGACTAGAACTGCAGGTGACTACATAAGATTTTAGCGGTGTAACCTTTCTGCCATCTGCTGGTCCCAAAAAATTAATATTAAAACACACACACACACACACAGAGAGAGAGAGAGAGAGAGAGAAATAATGGAAAAAAACTTACTTCTACACTTGAGATGGACATTTTATTGAACTTAGTATGCCTTGATATAAAAATAGATTAAAAAATGAATGTTTACTACATATCACTAGTTGAAATAATTATATGCAAACCAGAAGAAAAGTGAATCCCACTTTTCTTTTAGCATGACAAGAACGCACTAATCTTCCACCTTGGACGGTCCAAGGTCCTTCCTGACGGGAGTCGAGGTGGGCCTGCACTCCGCCCTGACGTCGGCAGGGGGCGCGCGCGGACCGCGGAGTCTGTCCGACACCAATCCACCTGCCACGAGCTCTTGCCTGCTGGGACCTCCAGCCTCCTGGCCTCGCAAGAGGTCCTGCGCAGCGCTGAGGACCCCGGAGCGCCGTCTTCAGACCCCGACCGGAGTAGTGCGCTCAACTGTGGGTCCCGGGCCCAGCGGGGCAGCGGGCTCTTGGATCTTGCCGGCGGTGTCTGACACAGCGGTTACTGCCTGAGCCACACCCTGCTGAAGAGCTTTGAACCCTGCCAGTCCCTGGAACCTACCGCAGTTCCCTCCCTGTTCTGAGACCCTAACCCCATCACACCTGCATTGGGAGGAGCTGCTGGCCTCCCTCGTTGAGTTGGGTCTGGGGTCATGAGCTTCAAGCAGACCCAGATGAGGCTAAGGGGGAGGAGATAGAATTTAGGAGGGAACCTGGGGCCACAGAGCCGGTGTCGTCGCTAGAGTGGAGCCTGCATAGCCCTTCACCCTGGCTAATGTCAGAACCTAAAGTTTTGTTTGTTGTTGTTGTTGTTAGAGATTTTTGTTATAGGACACGTACGCTCGCCAGAGAGACAAAAAGGGAGAGATCACCCTCTGGGAAGGATGGCCACACCGCAATCCCTTCTCCATTAACCTCCTGGGATCTTGGGCAGGCATACACACACGCCAGTGTGAGTTTTTAAGCCTCTGGGTTGGGGAGTCAAACCGCAGTCAACTATGCGTAACCTAAGGTTACATCTGCTGGTCTCAAAACCTAAGGTTTAAGTGCTTCATTTTTTGAGAAATGACAATGAAAGAATCCTGACCACAAGGTGCTCCCCTCTATGGGGATAGCCCTGCCCTGTGGGGAAATGTATATGCCACAAAGAGCTGCCAATCAGGGTGGCAGGCAATGTCCTGCCACCAGCTCAGGGCTGGCTAAGAGCTGCCTTGTGTGTAACTAGGAGTTTTAGGGGCCACTTCTTGGTGGCCTGCAGACACTGCACATTGGGATGGGGCAGAGGACCTGTCCCCTCTTACAGGAGTCCGCCTGGGTGCTGTCATTCCCTCTTTCCACGGGCATAGCAGGGGAGTAAGCCACATCAGGCTCCCCATCACCAGCAGCACCTCCTGCCCTGGTGGGAGCTCCACTAGGTAATGCTGACCAGCCCTCCCCCAGATCCCAGGCCCTTCCAGGTCTGCAAGGCTGACCAGCCCTCCCCCCAGATCCCAGGCCCTTCCAGGTCTGCCTCTCCCTTCTCCTGCCTCCTGTCCACTCCCAAGGCCCAATAACTCCCACTTTTCAGACGTGGAGTAAGCCCAAACCCAGCAAAGTCACATCCCGTCACCTCCGCTGCTGACTTGGCCAGCCACCCAGATGGGCACCTCTGGCCAGACCTGCCTCTTAGCAGCTCCTTCAGGTCAGTAAACACGTGATGAATCAAGGATGAGTAGGTTGTCACCAGCCTGCCATCCAGGAACAAGCCTATCCTACCAGGGAGACCTCCTCAGTCACTGCTTGCAGATCACCTCCCGCGGTGGCCTTCCGACAGCCCATCCACTACCGTGTGCCTGGCCCCTAACTGTTCCGGCTTAACCCTCCGCCAGGGTGTTACCGAAGCTATGCTCAGTTTCTGCTCTGGACTTCTGGCACCAGGCATCCTCGCGGTGTGTCCTCACAGTGGCTGCAGGGGGGACACTTCCAGGCCTGCAGGGTGGGTGTCAGGGTGGGCGCTGGGAGGGCTGCTCCGGTGGCTTTTCTCTGGGAGCGCCAAGGGCCATTTGTCTTGTGTGGAGCTTGGAGACACAAGCTGCACCGGGGAAAGCCTGTGTGCTCTGGGGACCTTCCCCTCCTTTGCAGAGCTCATGAGATACATGACTTAAGAGCTTCCAATGTCCTTCCAGTAAAGTGAAGATCCAGGTACCCACCTCCAGGGGTCAAAGAGTAAACGTAGGTGTTGTAGCTAGCGCGCTGCGCCTGCGCTGACTGGTTGTGCGCTCTTGCTAACCGTACCGGGCTAGAGACGGCTCTCCCCGGTAGCTGCTCTGCAGGAACAAAGGCTAGGGACAGGGAGGGAGGGAGCCAGTGTTACCCCTGCCCAGAAGAACAGGAAGTGGACCCTCCTGCCCAGAACCCCGTCAGCAGGACTATGCAAGGGTCCATGCGCTGAGAGGAAGGGGGATCCCCGCATGACACAGAGCCCTGGGACTGGGAAGAAGGCTTCCTGGAGGTGGAGTAGTCCTCAGCACGAGAATGGGACACCGCGTGGTCCCTTTAAGAGCTAGTCCCAGAATGAGGGCGGGGGATGGAGGATGGTGGCGGCGACACCCAGCACCCCCCGCCTCCGGTGGCCGCCGCCTCTAATCTTCACCCAAAGCCCGGGCTCCGACTGACGTCACCTGGCCCCGA